ATTCAGAGACTAATGCTAACCGAGAAAGTGAAAAGAATATCTGATTATTGGTATACAACATACAATTCTCCTGAGGTTTCATGATGAATAAAATGGGTTGGCAGACAAAAAAAAAAAAAACCACATACTCAGTTGTGAAATTGAAAACAGAAGTCTGAGTTTTATGTAAAGATCTTGCAACTTGCATGTCAGCACTCAAGAGCACAGGTGAGCTTACTTGTGAACAGGTTCCAGGCACACTTACTTTTCTCATATTCCTCTTCCATTAATATCAGCAAGTCCTTAGGGACTAGGTTAACATGGACTGGCTGGCTAATTGGGAGCTCTGTGCATTGAGCATCCAAGGTCCTAATAATGAGCCAGCACATTCATACCTTGACCCTGCCAGTGGAAATGAAGTGCTTGCACTCCGATTGTGAGAATCTGCACCAGGAGCCTCCAGTCAAAGTCTGTCTCCTTCCAGTCCTCAATACAGAGCCTGAGGCTCCCTCCATTGCACTCCAGGCAGAAGAGGAGCAGCAGAGCCATCACCCATGGTCATGCCTCAGTTGAGACCCAGCGCAGCTCAGTAAGTGCTGAGGGATAGCAGGGAAGGAGGTTGGACTCTTAGGAACATTGTTTTCTCCTCATCAGAAGAAAAGTGAGAGTTGGGATAGACTTAGGGGAGGGAACCAATAAGCAAAGCTTCAGTCCAGATGATTGTGAAGTCTATGTTCTTGATTCTTATAGGAGTCCCAGATATCTCATTCCGAGTTTGGCTTTCCTCCTGTATTAAGTCTTACCTCTTTGGAATCCTCTTTATGACAGCAGCAAATGCATCTCTAAACTGTTCCCTGAACACACAGAAACATGATCATAAAGGTGATGATGAGGATACCAGAGAGCATAACATGGTGGGCGTTTACTTAGGGCTTCCTAAGTGCCAGGCTCTGAACTCTGTTGCAAGTAGGCTGTTTCATTACATCTGTACAATCTCCCAAGTTTTGTTGCATAGAGGAGCTCAGCAATTTTTGGGACTTTTATCTGGTTATTAGGTACAATGAATTGAGTCCCCATCTTTAAAAAAAGAATTATTTTATTTGAAAGTTACAGAGAGGGAGAGGCAGAGAGTGAGAAAGGTCTTCCATCCATTGCTTCACTCCTGAGATGGCCATAACAGCTGGGGCTGTGCCAGGCTGAAGCCAGGAACTCCATCCGGGTTTCCCTTGTATGTGCAGGAGCCCAAGGATTTGGATCATATTATGTTGCTTTCCCAGGTGCATTAGCAGGGAAATGGATTGGAAGTGAAACAGCCAGGACTTGAACTGTTGCCTGTATGGGATGCCAGGTCTGCAGGCTGCAGCTTTAGTCAATACACCAAAGCATGGCCCCTGAAACCACATCTGAATCAGACACAGGGCACATGGCCACCCTACCCCTCTGGTGACCCCAGCAGCAGTTTCACTTTCTGTCCACCGTGCTCCTTCCATGGGCTTCTCTGTCGATTGTGGGCAGTCATGGGTGAAGTGTGGCTTAAGTCAAAGGCTAAGATCACAGGATCCCAGAACACAATAACTCAGAGGAGTTGGGTCTCCTGAGCCCACACCTGGCTTTCACTTCTGCCTCCTTCCTCACCACTCTTGTAATCACTCCTGTCTTCTCAATGAGAGACATAAAATGGGGTGTTGGTTTCCATTTCTGACTGCAGAACTGGAAAGAGATTACCAACAGTCCTCAGAGTTTCCTGTAGTTTAGATCACTGGAGCTCTGCTTAAGTCTTTCTGAGCAGGAGGAGATAATGAAGAAGCTGAATACATCAGTTTCATATGCTGACAACGTAGTGTTGAATCCTATCTGCTCCACTCCAAGTTGTTGGCATCTCTGAGAGTCAGCATTGTCATTTGAGTTGGGACCTCATCCATAGAGCTGACACAGCTCTTGTCCTCCAATGAGAGGACTTCAGAATATTCATGGAAAAATGGAATGAAAAGTATGAATTACTGCTTTTGAAATCCACACATAGATTTTTTTCATAACACATTATTTTCCATACATTATCATTTTTTACAGATTTTTTTGTAAAATATACACATTTTTTGTCTAAAAAGACTTTGAAGCTTCACTATGGCTGTGAACATGTATTTTTGAGAAGAATGATGCACTCCCTTTCATTTCTGATTCCCCTGAAGCTGTACCTGACTTGGCAGAGTGGAGGCATCAGCAATGAAGATCTCTGTTACACGTTCAGTAGACCATCCCATGGCTCGCAATACCTGGCCGTCAGCAGTGTGGCTTTAACACACTGGTGCTTTCTTGAAGATCCCTTTCAGGAAAGTCCCACAGAACTAGACCATAGAATAGCACGTGTTTGCATCTCTGTGAAGGACACATGGATCCTGTAATGGCACTTAATGGAATCTACAGCAAAATCTTTGTTCCTGAGTATTCAAAAATCAAGGCAGAGCTGTGTTTCACATCTAGCACAAATGCACAGAGAGAAGGGGGCAGGCAATCCTTGTTTCCGAGCTGAGGCATGTTCTAGGGTACCCTTTGCCAGCATCATTTATCAACAATTTGCTGTTTCTCCAATTACAGAGTCTGTATTTTGAAAAATCACGATGACCACATGCTTAAGCTCTCATTCCCCTAGATGATACCCTGTCACAGATATGGGTGTTATTCTTCCTACGTCCAGTGGACAATACAATCATGGGGAGGTGGAGAGATTTACACACATGTTGGCATGTATTGTAGGTGAATGATGCTGATTTCCTTACTTCCTCCATACAGCAAGCAGAAATAATATTATGCCAAGTAGAAATAACATTCCCACATAACTTGAAATTTCATGTGATTAGGGAAGGATTACTACTAAATATTACCCAAAGAAATATTTGATGATATATCAAATATATAGTTGATATATAGATGGTATATCAAATATATAGGCAGTATATATTTGGTATATCAAAGATATATTTGATTGTTTTTATTGGGATAGCAAACAGGTGTTGGACAAAAATACACGTGCATCCAATTTTGCTATTCAACCAGAAGTCCTCACTTGTGTGATATGAAGAGAGGGACAAAGATTTCAAAAGCTTGTCATAATAATGCATGTACTAATTAGATAATGTCCCCCCTCCCAGTTAAAGATGTGAAGCAGATGAAATGTTTGAAGTGAATGTACATCCCAGAGGGGCTGAAAACCGAACTTTAGTGCACCCTAATCTGCTTCGGGGGCAGTAGGTGTGTATACTAGATACATTCATGTACTTTTCAGGTGAGTTTTAAAGAAATCTACTTAGAGATGCACAAACTAATACTGACATGAAGGAGCATGCATTGTGGTGCAGTTGGTTGAGCCTCAGCTTGGGAAATTCACATCCCATAGAGGAGTACCTGGTTCGAGTCCCAGTTGCTCTTCTTCTGACCAAGCTTTCCACTAATATGCATGACAGACAGCAGGTGATGGCCCAGTTACTCAGGTTTTTGACATCACATAGGAGATCTGGATGGAATTCTGGGCTCCAGCCTCAGCTTGAGCTCTTGTGGGCATTTGAGGAGTGAACCAGTAGATGGAAGATACCTCTGTTTCAAATATGAAAAAAATGAATCAAGAAAGATAAAAAGAATTAAGAATTTCCTTGCAACAGTCTTATAGGGCAAGCATCCATTTCATGGATTAGGAATCTGCACAAGTATGCTTGCATTATTTCCTGGAATTTGTTTTGCATTTTTTCTCAGTTCAATCCTAGCATATTTTGCTAAAATAATGAACTACAGTTGTCTTAGGGCAGATAGAGAATTACAACCCATGGATAAGGGAAGGTTAATACTACAATATTTTCTTTAGGCATAGGAAGATTGGAACTCAAAGTTGACTTTGTGTTCTCCCTGATAGCAAACACTTCAACTGCAAATAAGAGGGTTTATGATCATAAAATTGTAAAGCAGCATTACTAGGTTGCTATGAAAAAAGGAAAATTTTGAAAATATTTAAATAAGGTACACCTCTCAAATACAAGATAATTTACTGAGATCTTGAGGCAAATACAAAAATTACCTGTTCAAACTTTTGAAAATTCAGACATTTTCTTGTAAAAATCCTTATTTCTGATCCCTGACAGGTGTAGAAATCACTAAAGTTACATTTGTGGTCATTGCTTTTGTATGATTATGTGCACTTAATTAAACCACATTTATCAAAATTTGACCCCCACCAATGACCAGGATAGAAGTTATGGATCACAAAGAAGACAGACAGGAGTGGGCACACAACATGGTTAAGATCCCCCCTCCTACTTAGGAGTGTCTGAGTTTGATTTCAGGCTATCATTCATGACTCGGCTTCCTCCCAGACTGTGGGAGGCAGTGGTGATGACTCAAGTACTTGGGTGACTGCTACCCATGTAAGAGACCTGGATCAAGTTCCAGCTCCAGGCTTCTGCAGTAGTCCATCCAAAGACACTGTAGGCATTTGGGAGTGAATCAATGGTCTCTCACTCTCTCTCCTCTCTCCCTCCCTCCTTCCCTGTCTGTGCATCTCCCTATCAAACAAAAAGGAGATACAGAAGGGAAAACTAGAAAACCTGAGAATGACGAAACCTCTGAAAGATAACTAACACACAACAGTATTTTCCTATCATGAACGATCAACATTAAGTTAGCATTGACATAATACAGTCCTAGCATTTAGAGCACACTTAAGTCAATGGAATTTGTACCATTGTTAAAATAAGGGTAATTAAGAAGCAGTTAAATATACCTTATTTAGAGTATTACCTTTGAAGGCAAAAGGGCATTGATTATTTTTTATTACATGTCTAGGATGCATTTGACTGTATTCATGGACTTGGTAGGTCTAGTGTTCTAGGTTTCATAACATTTTTTGGTTGCTCCAACAATAGTTCTTTTAATTTTATTTATTCTATGGACCTTCGACTTGCCCTTATGTTATACCCTTGACTAGCTGAATTAAAACTATAGACAAAAAAACTGTAAGCAAGCACTGTGTGCCCATGTCTCCTTTTCCCATCCCTATCTCTTTTTCCAGAAGGAGCACAGGCTCTGTTGAAACACAAAATTGGACGTGTGTCCCAGAATTCCATCTCGTGGGCTTCTCAGAGGATCCAGAACTGCAGTCCCTCCTGTTAGTGCTGTTCCTGTCCGTGTACCTGGTCACAGTGCTTGGGAACCTGCTCATCATCCTGCTCATCATTTCTGACACCCACCTGCACACCCCCATGTACTTCTTCCTCTGCAACCTGTCCTTGGCTGACATGGGTTTCACCTCCACCACGGTTCCCAAGATGATTGTGGACATCCACACTCACAGCACAGTCATCTCCTATGTGGGCTGCCTGACGCAGATGTCTCTCTTTATTATCTTTGGGTGCATGGATGATTTGATTCTGACCGTGATGGCCTATGACAGGTTTGTTGCCATCTGTCACCCACTGCATTACCAGGTCATCATGAACCCCCACCGCTGTGGCTTCTTGGTTTCTGTGTCTTTTTTCGGCAGCCTTTTGGAATCCCTGCTGCACAACTTGATATTATTACCAGTTACCTGCTTCAAGGCAGTTGAAATTTCTAATTTCTTTTGTGACCCTTCTCAGCTACTCAATCTTACATGTGATGACACCTTCAACCATGACATAGTCATGTATCTTATTGGTATCGTATTTGGGTTTTTCCCTATCTCAGGGATCCTCTTCTCTTACTATAAAATCGTGTCCTCCATTCTGAGAGTCCCATCCCCAGGTGGGAGGTACAGAGCCTTCTCCACCTGTGGCTCACACCTGTTGGTCGTTTGCTTATTTTATGGATCAGGTTTAGGTGTGTATCTCAGTGCATCCTTCTCCACCTCTTCCAGAAAGAGTGCTGTGGCCTCACTGATGTACACCCTGGTCACCCCTATGTTGAACCCCTTCATCTACAGCCTGAGGAACAGGGACATCAAGAGAGCTCTGCAGATAATTGTCAACAGAATTAGCTAATCTCACTGCCCTTGCCATCCTTGTGCTCCTAGAACTGAAATGGGCAGCTCCAAGAATTCCTGAGTCAGAGTCCTCAGGGCACAGCATGTGAAGGCATCTATCATCATCTCCATGACTTTTGGGCTTCTCTTTACACAAGCATTCTTCTCAACATCACTTTAATGGCATTAGGAGACCCTTCTGGCCAACCACTTTGGCCATAGTCATTCCAGGATCATATGGCTGTGTCACAGGAAGAGAGTCAAGCAGGGGACTAGCAGAGAGTCATGGGTAATGAAGTTTTCCTGCTGGGTTGGGGCTTTTAAAAATATTTTTTATTTATTTGAAAGACAGTTACAGAGAAAGGTGGGTGGGGGAGGGAGGGAGGGAGGCAGGGAGAGTGAGTGAGTGAGTGTGTGAGTGGTCTTCCATCCACTGGTTCATTCCCCAAGTGGCCACACCAGAGCTGAGTTGATCTGAAGCCAAGAGCTTGCTGGGTCTTCCACATGGGTGCAGGGACCCAAACACTTGCCATACTCTGGTGCTTTCCCAGGCCATCAGTAGGGAGCTGGATTGCAAGTAGAGCATCTAGGACTTGAACTGGCAACCATATGGGATGCCAGTGCTGCAGGCTGAGGCTTTAACCCACTGTGGCACTGCGAAAGCCCTGGGTTCGTGCTCTTAAAATCACTACTCTATTTTCCACTTTACAGTTTTTTAATAAAACATCACTCATGGTCACTAACCTTAACTACATTGGAAGTGTGGTGCATTTCACTAATCCCTTCTCTCTCCACTCAGGCCTCAGTGTTTGAGAGACCCCCTTCAGTTACCATTTCTGTTCACACGTTTTTCCCTCTTTGCCTATGTCTTGCAGTAACTATTGGACCCATTGCCCATATTCCGTTCACTCCATTAAGATACCTAGATTTGTTTTGTTTCTTGACTGATGAATACATCATGACATGAGGATGAGCTGTGATGGGAGTATTTAAAAATGTGCACAAGAGGGAAGTGCAGTAGTGCAGTAGGTTAAGCCTCTGCCAGCAGTACTGGCATCCCATAGGGTTCTGGTTTGAGTCCTGGCTGCTCTACTTCTGATGCAGCTTCCTGCTAATGGCCTGGGAAATCAGCAGTGGGTGGCCTAAATGCTTGGGCCCATGCACTCATGTTGGAGACCCAGAAGAAGCACCTAGCTCCTGGCTTTGGATTAGCCCAGCTCCAGCTGTTGCAGCCATTTGGGGAGTGAATCAGTGGATGGAAGATCTGTCGCTCCTTCTCTTTCTGTAACTCTGCTTTTTGAATAAAATAAATAAATCATAATTTTTTTTCATGTGCTCAAGAAATCAAGCCAGTTTCAATATCAGTCTTCTCATAAACACAAAAGAGGCAGAATTTAGGGTCTTCTCATTTCTGTTGATGATACTCATATTTTGAGGTGGGTGTTAGTGCCATTTGGGATGCCTGTATCCTATACTGTAGGGCCTGGTTTTTAATCTTAGCTCCACTCTGATTCTGAATTCCTACTAACAGGCATCCTTGGAGGCAGCAGGTGATGACTCAAGCAGTTGGGTCCCTGCCACACATGTGGGAGACCTGGACTGAGTTCCTAGCTTCCGGCTTTGGCCTGGCCCAGCCTTGACTGCTGTGGGCATTTAGGAAGTGAACCAGAGGATGGATAACATTGCTCTCTTAATCCCAGTCTTTTCCTTTCAAATAAAATAAATTTTTACAACTAAAAAAAGGAACATTCTTCATGTGAGGGAAAAACAGCAAATGTCTTTTTTTTTGTGCAAACATAACTCTGCTGGGTTTCACACAGTATGTCTGGCAGGTGAGAACCTTAGTTTTGTTTTAAAGAAGGTTTGCTTATTTGAAAGGGAGAGAGACAGAGAGAGAGAGAGACAGAGAGACAGACAGTGAGACAGAGAGACACAGAGAGAGAGAGAGACACACACACACAGAGAAACACACAGAGAAACACACAGAGAGACACAGAGAGAGACACACAGAGAGACACAGAGAGACACACACACAGAGAGACACAGTGAGAGGCACAGAGAGAGACACAGAGAGATCTACTGTCTGCTGGTTCACTGCCCATAAGGCTGCAATGGCTGGGCTACATCAGTCCAGAGCCAGGAGCCTGCAAGTCCATCCTGGTCTCCCATGTGAGTGTCACAGGTCCAGGCATTCAGACTATCTTCCACTGCTTCCCCAGGTGCATTTGCAAGGAGCTGGATCAGAAGCAGAGCAGCCTGGACTCGACTGGTGCCAAGATGAGATACCATGTGGCAGGCAGCAGTTTAACCTGCTGCACCATAATGCCGTCCCTGCCCAAACACTGAAGGAGGCAATAGCATGTGCCTCCCACCCTTCAGCTTTCCAGTACATCCAGTGGTAATAGTTCCTGTGCTTTCCATCACCAGAGGTGCCACAGGGGTTAGCTGGCCCTTTCCCGAGCCTGTCTTTTTGCCAGTCCTCAGGACAGAGCCTCAGCCCTCATGGGTCCCTGCGCACAGGACGGAGAACAGATTTGTGCTCCTTGGCCGTGCCCCTGAACAAGGCAGCACGGCCTGCAGGGTGCTGTGGAAGATCAATGATGACATTATGATGCCTCCAAATAAACAAAACACCCCAAGCCAAGATTATGAAGATGATGAGATAGAAGAAATGCAAGATACGGATTTCAAAAAATTTATGATAAGAACATTTAGAAGTTTTCAAAAGCAAATCCTTGAACTACAGAAATCCTTATTGTACAGGAGTGAAAATCTCTCTCGTGAAAATGAAATTTTAAGGAAGAATCAAAATGAAATGCAGAAACTAGTAGAGCAGGAAAGTGTGATAGTGAAGAGAAATCAAAATGAAATGAAGAGCTCAATAGATCAAATGACAAACACATTAGAGAGCCTTACAAACAGAATGGGTGAAGCAGAAGAGAGAATATCGGACTTAGAAGACAGAGAACAGGAAAGGATACAGTCAAACCAAAGAAAAGAAGAGGAAATTAGAAATCTAAAAAATATTGTTGGGAATCTACAGGATACTATTAAAAAATCCAACATTCAGATTCTAGGAGTTCCTGAAGGCATGGAGAGAGAGAAAAGATTAGGAGGCCTTTTTAGTGAGATACTAGCAGAGAACTTTCCGGGTCTGGAGAAGGACAGAGACATCCTAGTACAGGAAGCTCATAGAACCCCCAGTAAACATGACCAAAAGAGATCCTCACCATGACACGTGGTAATTAAACTCACCCCAGTGAAACATAAAGAAAAGATCCTAAAATGTGTAAGAGAGAAATGTCAGATTACTCTCAGAGGATCTCCAATCAGACTCACAGCAGACTTCTCATCAGAAACACTACAGGCTAGGAGGGAATGGCGAGACATAGCACAGGTGCTAAGAGAGAAAAATTGCCAGCCCAGAATATTATATCCTGCCAAGCTCTCATTTGTGAATGAAGGTGAAATAAAGACCTTTCATAGCAAACAGAAATTGAAAGACTTTGTGGCCACTCGTCCAGCCCTGCAAAAGATACTTAAAGATGTGCTACACTCAGAAACAGAGAAACACGGCCATCAATATGAAAGAAGGGAAAGGAAGAACACCTACCAGTAAAAGAGCATGGGAAGCTCAAAGCATATACTAGAAAATATTTCCGGGAAAATGGCAGGGCAAAGTCACTATGTATCAATAGTCACATTAAACGTGAATGACCTGAACTATCCAATTAAAAGACACAGACTGGCTGACTGGCTTAAGGAACAACACCCAACTATCTGTTGCCTACAAGAAACACATCTCTCTAACAAAGATGCATGCAGACTGAAAGTGAAAGGTTAGAAAAAGATATTCCATGCCAACAAAAACCAAAAAAAAGCAGGTGTAGCCATATTAATATCAGACAAAATAAACTTTAATACAAAAACTGTTAAGAGAGACAAAGAGGGACACTATATAATGACTAAGGGTTCAATTCAACAGGAAGATGTAACTATTATAAATGTATATGCACCTAATTACAGGGCACCGGTCTATTTAAAAGATATGTTAAGGGACTTAAAGGGAGACTTAGATTCCAATACAATAGTAGTGGGGGACTTCAATACTCCACTCTCAGAAATAGACAGATCATCCGGACAGAAGATCAACAAGGAAACAGCAGATTTAATCGACACTATCGCCAAAATGGATCTAACAGATATCTACAGAACTTTCAATCCTACATCTACAGACTTTACATTCTTCTCAGCAGTGCATGGAACCTTCTCTAGGATTGATCACATACTAGGTCATAAAGCAAGTCTCAGCAAATTTAAAAGAATTAGAATCATACCATGCAGCTTCTCAGACCACAGTGGAATGAAGCTGGAAATTAGCAACTCAGGAAACCCCAGAAAGTATGCAAACACATGGAGACTGAACAACATGCTCCTGAATGAACACTGGGTCATTCAAGAAATCAAAAGACAAATCAGAAACTTTCTGGAAGTAAATGAGGATAACAACACAATGTATCAACACTTATGGGATATGGCAAAGGCAGTATTGAGAGGCAAGTTTATAGCAATAGGTGCCTATATCAAGAAATTGGAAAGGCACCAAATAAAAGAGCTTTCAGCGCATCTCAAGAACCTAGAAAATTTGCAGCAAACCAGACCCAAATCTAGTAGGAGAAGAGAAATAATTAAAATCAGAGAAGAAATTAACAGGATTGAATCCAAAAAAAATTACAAAAAATCAACCAAGCAAAGAGCTGGTTTTTTGAAAAAATAAACAAAATTGACACCCCATTGGCCCAACTAACTAAAAAAAGAAAAGACCCAAATCAGTAAAATCAGAGATGAAAAAGGAAATGTAACAACAGACACCACAGAAATAAAAAGAATCATCAGAAATTACTACAAGGACTTGTATGCCAGCAAACAAGAAAACCTATCAGAAATGGAGAGATTCCTGGACACATGCAATCTACCTAAATTAAACCATGAAGACACTGAAAACCTAAACAGACCCATAACTGAAACAGAAATTGAAACAGTAATAAAGGCCCTCCCAACAAAGAAAAGCCCAGGACCA